TCCACATTGTATCATTTGATTGTGTATACTTTTCAATTATTTTATTATGGGTTATTAGCACAAAACGTTCTATACGTACTGAGTTCATTGCGCAAAACGTTTCAACGTTGCATTTTTTTTCACCTATATTTCAACATTTTATCGCAAAAATCATCATTTTCATTTAATTTCTCAATAAAAAAAATGTGAAATGATCAATATGCTCTTCTATTTTTTTAAAAAAATAAAGAACTAATGTAATCATAGTCCCAATATTTTTTTTAAAGTCGGATCAAGTCCCGAAAAAATTATTAAAAAATTTAGAAATAGAAATAAAAAAATTGTCAACCCCCTTTACCCCTACCCCTTCTTTCCACCACTGCCACTATCGGACCACCAACTCACGAACCATCTCAAATCACTCATGGAAAACCAAACCGCTATATTATTGAGATTCAATGAAAATTTCGAAAAATGGGTTTCTAAAAAATTACACTTCTGATATACATGTGCGCGTTAGATCAAATAATAAACGAAAAAAAAAAATCGTATAAATCGCATAAGCCAAAAAGTTAAGCCCCCGTTTGAGCCACATTAAAATTTCTATTTTCATTCTTCTACTCATTTTCAACCACACATTTTTCAATAAAATAATATTTTTCATCACATCAATAACTTTTTTCTTTTTTTTTTTCAACCACACAGTTTCCATCAATCTACTATTCCAAAATACAATCTTCCCAAATAACGTGGCTCAAACAAACCAAAGTTTGGAGATCCTAAATCAGAAATTTAGGGAATAACAGTTAACATTCACTTCCCTATTACCAATTGCAGTGCTTAATTTCTTGCGGGCAAGCACAACTCTTAGGTTCCCTATAGTTGATTAAGCTATCGGAAATGCAAAATGCACAATTGAAATGGAAATCCAAGGACTGGGAACCCGAAATTGAAATTTCGAATTGAGGTTTAATTGCTTCTAATCGGCGCCCATGAGTTCATCAAACAAAATTCTCAGAGCATCCATGGTTAATTGATTAAATAGATAGAACCTCAAAAGAAAATAATAGGAATAAAAAAAATTACCTCGACTGTGTATAAAACATAGGCGTCGTCGGTCGCGGCTTGGCCATTTACGGTGGTGGGTGTTGTCCACTTCTTTGGTGGTTAAGGTGTCTATGAAACCATTTTTGGCTACCAAAATTAGCGAATAATGATTTGAATTATTTATATTGGTTAAAATCGCAGTCTAATCCCCGCCCTGTGTATTCCTGGTTCCAGTTTGGATTTCAATTTCAGGTTACTTGGGATTGATTTGATTTTGATTGTTGTATAATTGTTTTGTGTTTCATAGGTTTCAGTTTTAATGGAAATTATCTATTTTGGAGTCGAAATTCTGTCATCATAGTTGGTTACTTGGTTATATTGATGTTATATTGAATGGTGGTGGTGAGAAGACGTGGCAGTGGGAAGCAGGAGTAGGTGGGAAGGGAAAGGCAAATTTTTTTATTTTCTCATTTTCATTTCTAAATTTTTAATAATTTATTTGGGATTCGTTTACATTTTTTTAATAAATAAATTAGAACTATGATTGCTATCAATTTTTTATTTTTGTTTTGTTTTATTTGAATAAGATGATATATTTGTCATTTCACATCTTTTTATTGAGAAAATTGATGAAAATAATGTTTTGCGAAATCAAAAGAGTAATTATGGGTGAAAATATTAAAAATGAAAAGTAATGACGTTTTTCACAATAATAGTGAAGGTATGGACGTTATATGCTAATTATCTTTCTATATTGTCTTTACATTGAATAGACCAAGACCTTGTTTGGTATTGTTTAAAATCAAGATTTTAATTTATATCAAAGTCAATTATTAATTTGAACCACACGTTTTATTGAATTCACAACTTTTGATCCCACACATTTGACTAACTTTTATCAAAATTTACTAAAAATCTGATTTTAATTCTCACCAAACAGGGGCTTGAACTTGAACAATAATGAAAAACATTATTCAGTTGAAACCCGCAAGCGTACATGATCTTTGACAAGTAATAATAAAGTGAGTTGTGAGTTATCTTCCCACGAGGAATAATATTTAATCATAATTCACTAGTTACTACTAAATTCGATGTTCATGACAAAGAGGTGATTTTGTGGTATTTATACTAATTCTAAAATAAAAAAGCAATAATTTTTTTTGTCAAATATGTGAATGATTATATTGGATTTCGAGTCCTTCTATTACTATTTTAATTCTTGATTCGTAATCTAGTCAATTTTATACATTCATGATCATCGATAAAATTAGTGTATTTAATTCTTTTTTTAAATACAAATTAAGTCTATTCTAATCACGATTCGATCCTATTCGTATTCTAAATCTTTTATGACCAAAATGCATTAAAATGTAGATTATATACGTGATTGCATATGCGATAAAGATTATTTCTAATTTTATCTACATGTGTTAATTTTGTTGCGTTTTAAACTTATTGTAAGTCTCTCAACACCACAATAAGCAACTAATTATTCAATTGGTGACCAATCAATTAAATAATGTAATGCGTATGCAAAATCATTCAAGAAAATCAAGAAATAACCAAATTACTAGTCTCCAATCAAATCAAATGTACAATATGGTTCATCATTCATTCAATACAATAGAAAAACTAGCATAACATTCTAATGATTAAATTATACAAGAAATAGTGGAAAAAATCACTCGGAAAGAAAAAAATAATGAAGGAAGTGAGAGAGAGCTCCTCCAATGGCTACCCCTATATATCTATCTATATGATGAAATTATGTTAAGATTCACTTCCAAATTGTCTTACAAAAGAATTTCAATCAAATAAGGAACGTTGCCTTCGCGCACCTGATTTTGTCTTTGAACAACTTTCAATATTTTGGTCATAACTTTTTCTCCCGATATCTGACTAAGGTGATTCAAAGTGCGTAGAAAAGCTAACTCAAAAGAATGCATAATTAGAACACAAAGTGATAGAAATAGAGAGAGGAAGTGAGGCTGCCGCAAGTGAGTACTAGTGCAGTGAAGTCGTGCTTGTTTCGAGTAAATTAAATTGTATTAGAAACTCTTGTTAATAAATAAAGTTATTTCCCTTGGCGTTTAAACTCAAAATTGGTAATGTCGTTGGCCACTCAATCGGACCTTAAATCAGCCAAGCTTTAATGTAAGGCATAGGGCACAAAGTGGATGATAAAATGTGAAGTCCTTGTTTGGCCTTCATTTGTTAAAATCCATTTTTTTTCAAAATTATTTTCCTAGCACTAAACCTTGACCAATGTACCTTGCGTCTTGTATTGTTTTTTTTACCACAATTCATGAACCCAGTTACCATTGGAAACATATCGAAAATATCTTATCTGAGATAAATAATATTGATAATGCCCTCTTAATCACTTTTTACGATTCATTTCAGAACTCAAAAGTCTATCATCCGTTAATAACTTGGGTTTGTGATAATAACAAACAATTTGTAAAATACATATGCTAGTAATAAGTATGATAAGTCATCTCATAACTTTTATCTAATTATGGCAGTGAGCAGCCTTCGAACTAGAAAATTTCTTTTGACTCTTTAGGGCCTGTTCGAGAGTTTTTCATTGATTTTGGATGGAACCTTTAATGAGGGGTTGGAAAAATTAATGTTTGCTAAAAAAAATTTAGCATTGGTTTTTGATGGTTTAAAAACCACCCAAAATTGTAATTTTGACCCTTTTTTAACCCACCAAATTGGTGAGTTTTGACTATTTCTCATATTCTATTATTATTTGACTTTTTATAAAATAATTATTTGCAATCAATATTTTTGTTCAAAATTAACTTGTAAATAAAGCCCTTACTCAATCTAAATTAGAATCTAGATTTTTATCAAAGTTAAAATCAATAATTAATTTTAATAATATATTTTATGAGATCCATAACTTTTCAAAAACATATTTCTTCAACTTTTATTAAAATACGTTAAAAATATGATTTTAAACAACTTTTAAAATCGGTGTATAATAAACTCTCAAATTTGAATTGAATATTTTAAAAATTATCACTAAAATCACTTGAAATCGAACAGCTCACACTCAAAATTAATACTTTTAAAAGTTGATAACCAATATTCCAAATCTCCCAAGCATGTCCTTAATACTCTTATCACTACACTTCGCAACAGTTCTGTAATTCGAAATTTGAACAAAAACCTTCAGATTTCCCTTTCCCTGTCCCTTTCCCCTCACGACTCACTCGGTCACATCACTGTTTTTACTTTAATCCCAATATTTTCACACAGTAAAAGCAGCAACAAAGAAACCCTCATATTTTTTCATAAAAAAGCCCTCATTTACTTTTAATTTATAGTTATACTGGCCCGGAATCAATTTTAAGATACATAAATGCACTATGAGAAAAGGGTGCAACAGAAATGGGAGTGGCTAGCAAGGCATGGAGGTATAGTGGGGGACTTGTGTTGAGCAGTCTGGACTTTTCAATACCTCAGCAGCAGAACGCAAAGCAGCAGTCACAGAAGCTGCATTTTTATAATTGTTTTCTGGGCTGGAAATGGCGGCCGACGGTGGCGGTGCCGTGGACGGTGGTGTGCGGACTGATGCTTTTCGCCGTTGGATTGATTTCTCTGTTCACGGGACACGTGGCGTCTGATCTTGAGTGGTACTCTCAGCGCCTTGTCAAGCGTACTTGGTACTATAAACTGGTATTATATGTATTCTCTGTCACTCCAAGACTCGATGTTTGCTTGTCTGTGCGTTTCGATTTCATCAATTTTTGTTGGAACTGGGAATTATAATTTTTATTAAAGTAAATATGTAGGAAGATTATGCAACGTTTTGCTGTTTCTTTTTATTATTATTATTATTTTTTTGCTATATCGAGTTGTTGTGATCTGAATTCTGAAATGCCTTTTATTGGGATTATTTTTTTACTCTTTATCTTTTCTTGTTTTGTCTCCTGAAGAAAGGTTTTTTAAGCAGTTTCTACTTTCTATAGAACCCAAACTGAATTCAATTTTCTGTTGGCGACTCTCTGTTGTTATCAGTTATGCAAACTTCAACTTCTACTTCTGGTGGTGTCTTAGTGCTTATTGTTGTTTTTGTTTCTTCCCGATTGATTGCTGCTATAAATTCTTGAATATGACACCAATTAGAGCTTCAAAAGTTCTGCGGTCAAATGAAAACATCAAGCTCTGATACCAAATTGACGACGGACATGCATGTCGCATAATGGAACCTTGAAAGAAGAAGGGAAATAGGAGACTGCTAGGCTAGAAGGTTGTATGCGGAGTTCATGCAAATGCTAATTAGAGTCAGAAATAGCAGGGTGGTGAAGCGTTTCTTTCTATTCACCTCACTTGTTCTCTCTATCTGTTCTATGGGGAAATGTCCATTTGTTTGGGGGGTCTATAAATGGCAGTAGGACATTTGATTTGAACAGGAATTTTTTCATAATTGAAGTACTACGAGTTAGCTCCTGAAAGTTTTTCGAAGGTAGAACTAGATTATTTTTATCGACATCGTTTCTGTATTATAGTTGGTTTTACTCTTTATTCCATGGCGTTGAAGGTTGATTGTTGGTAGTAAATAAACATTTCCTTCATGATGATGCTCCGATGCATCCATCAAGCTCTTTGTTTGCATTATTATTTTCTGTAAGAGAATCACAGATTAATTCCTCATTCCATTTGAGAAATAGTATTTGTCAGCTGGCTAACTTCATTTTCGAGGGCTGGAGACAAAGTTGGATATCATCTATTTGCATGTCTTGCTTGCACTGTTTGTATTACGCGTGACATTGAAAATTCAGTTATTTCAATTTATCATGTTAAAAGTCAAAACCATGTAACTCTTGATCTTTTCCTTATTGTAGGGTAGGGGTAGCCGTGCACCAATTGATGTATGGCAATCAAAGTTTTCAAACTTTTATTATGGTTGCAGTGAGAGAGGTCCTCATTTTGCACGTAAGTTTGTTCATCTGTTTCAATTACCCGTTTCAGGACAGGGGACAGAAGATAAAGCTAATGCGGCATTGCTCTCCATTTTTCATCTAGTGTTATCAAAGTTGCTTATCAAAACCTGAAACTAGAATGCTTGGATAATATTGCAATATCAGTCATGGTAGTTGATTTATGGTTATAGAATTATTATATTGGTTCAGTTTTTCTATATCAAAAGATGAGGTGCACCGGATTTGCTTAAGATGATGTTCTGGAGACATGAAAGCTATAGTAATAACTATTAAGTATCTCTACTTTTGCTTTTGTGGAAAAATTGTGGGGGGTTGTGTATATCACCATGCGTGGAAAAGAAATTGACTTATTACATCTTTGCATCAATATGTTGTATTCTGTTGTGAGCCGTTGTTTCAACTTATTTCTCTTCCATATCGAAGGATAGAAGAGTATGCCTATTGAAAGAAAAAACACTTCAAAAAGGGATCAACTACAATGGGCCAACTTTTGATATAATTACCTTAATTTGCTATTTATCACTTCTTGTGAACATATTTTTCTTGCTAACCTTGATATACTTAATGAATATGTAGTGCTAAGATAGTCATTAGTAAAGATCATATTTTTTTTGAACTCTTATATACAAAGACACATATATAGACATACACCTATCTAGGCACATACACTCTTGTTTGTCATGGTTAATGGTGGTAACACCTTCGTGGTTGGACAAAACTCTTTATTGCATCTGAAGATTTGTCCCTAGTCATGTCTAAATGGAACTCATTGTTTTCTGCAGATTTATTGAATTGCTTCTTCACAAATACTGTCAAGAACTAATTATTTACATTGTTTACTTGAGGAATGTAGAATTTGCTCGAGCTTGTATTGACACGTCTCGTTTGTATCTCTGGCTCCTAAGATAAGATGAGCTGAGCTTGAATGCAGTCTTAATCCAGTGAAGAAATGGACGTTGGGTTGAGTCCAACTCGATAAACAAAATAGCATTTAAAAATCTCTGTTCTTTATCTATATATACATGCTTTGTTCAGATTAGGCCTGATAAAAAAGCTTGTTCAAAATCATCTTGAAAGATAAACAAACCAAGATTTAGACATACACAGCTCGTGAGATGCACTGATCAAGCTTGAGAGCCTAAACCTTGGCTATGCTCCATTGACACCCCTAAATTACTCTTCTAATTTGCAAGTACTAAAAAATCACCTCTAACACTGCTAACTATAATCTGTAGCTGCTGTCCGTGAGCGATTGCCAAATGGCTAGTTTCTTATTGCAACCAGTGGAGGACTCAATCAACAAAGAACTGGAGTAAGTGTTTTCTTGCTCTCTTCTCTGTATATACTTTATAAGCCTCGAAAGTCGAATATATGTGCGTGTTAGTATTTTCTCCAATTTTTTTTTTGAAATCACTCTATGAAGGAACTAAAATTTATAATTTGTTTATGATTCTTCAGATAACTGATGCTGTAGTTGTTGCTAGGATACTAAATGCTACTTTAGTCGTGCCAGAATTGGATCACCATTCATTCTGGAAGGATGAAAGGTTGGTTGACATTTCTTTAAGTTTTTATTTTATTTTTGCTGGAAACATTTTTTTTCTACTCCCTCCCGTTACAATTTGAATGACGTCCTTTCCCTTTCACTATGTTTCAAAGTAATGCTACATAAGTACTTTTAAATCCTTTTGCTGCACTACGTTAAAAAAAATCCTATATTAATCTTCACGGTCTCAATTCACCCACTCTTTCTCCCTTTTCTAACTCAAATTAGGAGCCATGTGGGGATTCTTTTGTTAGTAAAAGAGTATAAATGTCCAAAGTCTTCTCTCCTAAAAATCAGATCCAAGCCGTACGAATTGCAATGGACAACAAAAAACCGGTACACAATAATAAAGGCAAGGAGTCCTAGAGGATTATAAGTGCAAGGTATTTTAGAAACACGTCAAACATTAAAAAGAGCATTCCAGCAGTGCTCCATATAAGTTTAGTCAATTGACTAAATACACTAGTACTTTGCCTGCAGAGAGGTTACGTGGATCAAATAATTACCACCTAACGAAAAAGTTATAGGTACCCAAATTAAATTTGGAACATCTTCTTTGTCATGTAAGGAACAAGAAAACACTTCAATAAATATTACTCCATTGAAAGATAAAAAAAATTAAAGAAAGAGTTCAATTGTCCATTCACAGTAGAAAATAAACTGTAAGGTTTCAAGGATAACAATTTAATGCCTAATATTATTTTTAGAATACACATTAGAACATGAAATGTAAGGTTTCAAGGATAAAAATTTAATGCCTAATATTAATTTCAGAATATACAGTAAACATAAACTGTAAGGTTTCGAGGATAACAATTGAATGCCTAAAATTATTTTTAGATCATGTATATTTAAGTCTACTATCTTTTCTCATTCTGTTATTTCTTTGACATGCAGTGATTTTTTCGACATTTTTGATGTTCAATGGTTCATCTCTTACCTATCAAAAGATGTCCCCGTTGTCAAGAAAGTCCCAGAAAAGGTCATGAAATCAATGGAAAAGCCTCCATATACCATGCGTGTTCCAAGAAAATCAGATTCTGAATATTATGTTGAGCAAGTGTTGCCCATTCTTTTGAGGAGACGTGTAAGATGGCAAACTCTGTCAAAGTTAATTTTGTAACATTTGATAGAGCATGTGCATGGCTTAATACTTCTTCCTGCAGTAGATCTTTGTTTTGTTTTTTATTATTATGTGCATGAAAACAATAATTCTTAGATCTTTTGTTAAAGCTGCTTTGTCCTGGGGTGCTGATAGATCATGCTAAGGTGAAAGTTTAATTGTTTGCCTGCAGCCTGTCGTACTATACTTCAGGATCAACGAAAGTCAATCTTGAACACTACTCTACCCAATGACACTCCCATTGTTTTTCTCATTTTTTTCCTTCATTTCTGACTAGAAAGGTTTCACCAATGAAAATATATCTAAATATTGTCTTTAGCATGGAAAAATAGCCAGCTCGCATTGAAATTATATGTCTAAAATATGTCTTCCATATGGAATTCTTCGTGGGTACTTACTTTGGAGTCGGGACTCTCATTGGCACCAAGATATGATGAACAAGTGTGGTTTGCAACAGAATGGGCGGCATCTTAGAGGTGGCATCAATGTTGGAGGCAAGTGCTTGGAAGTTAATCTTTTGTTTGCACATGGTCTACATAAAATTGTAGAGACAGTCTGTTGTGAGATCTTTATGGTTCTATTTGCAGAGATGCCTCAGTCTCAACATTTCTTTCCACAGATGGAGAAACACTCTTTTGGGGCTGATTTCCTTAGGAATCTAACTGAGAGGGATCAGATTATTGTTCTTCTTTTTGCAGCTATTACTTTACATCCTTGTCTACCCAAGATTCTAAAATCTGATTATGAAATATTCTTAAAAATTTCATCCAAGCCATTCTTGAAATCTGTCAAATATTGTACTTTCTCTATTTTTGTTGTGGACAAACATTCTGAATGCATTCCCTTTGAAGTCGAAGGTTAGATTAGACTTTCGTTTTTAATAATATTAATGCCAACAGTTAAATTATAGATGAGAAGACCCCGTAAAGCTCTTAGTGCAGATTTTTGTTTGACTTGTAAGGTATCATGTGAGACAAGTAATCATCTATTCCTTCTCCCTTAGCTTGCTAGTTTCATGTGAAAGGGTTTGTCTAGCTGCTGTTTGAGATTTTATGCAAACCTGATTCTTTTAGAGTTCCTCACAAAGGTAATTTATAAAAATCCTGTGTTACTCTGCTCTCTTTGACATTTTGGGATATTACAGAGAGGAATGCAAAACCTTTTCGAGGTCAATATATGACCTTTTTGTATAGAACTGAATTTTCTTTCTTCTCTCTGGGCACTAACATCCTGTGCCTTGATGTTATCTCATTACAAAATCTTGGAGAGATAAGTGAGCTGATACCTTGTACTAGTAATACTTTGTATTATAGTAATACTTTGTATTATCCACGGGAGGATATCTTAACCTCTTAATATTTAAGTTCCTCGTTCTTTCAGTACTTTCAGTTTTCAACTAAAATATTTTATAGAAAATTTGGCTCCAGCTCTGCTCCTTTTACTTTCGAATGCCTTTTAAAGAAATACCTTTCTAACGAGATGCCTGCAGACTGTTAATGAACAGCTTTGGCTAATAAAAGTTTTATAAATTCTCTGCAGGTGGTTCAGTTGACGAAGTTCGATTACAGACTCTCCAATGACCTCAATGAAGATCTCCAAAAGTTGCGTTGCCGGGTAAATTATCACGCTTTAAGATTTACTAAACCTATAAGGAACCTGGGTCAAAGGCTTGTGACACGAATGCGAAAGATGGCAAAACGTTTCATTGCAGTTCACTTGAGGTTTGTAAATTTTGATATGTTTAGAAGTTTCTTATTTTTTCTCAAGTTTTAGGTTGAAAGTGACTATCCACGAAATCTATCGTATACCTCTCTTTTTTCTTATTTGGTAATTGATCCTGGTGAATAGTTGTCAACTTGAAAATTAATTTTTCACATATAGTTGGCTACTCGAAATTTCTTTCCTCCCTTCTGCAACCCCACACTTTTCTTTACTGCAAGAAGATTAGTTCTTCTCCACGAGCTGACTGCTTATGCTGCATAGGTTTTAATTACTATTCTATGAATGTGCTGATATTTAAGAAAGATATTTGAGTTTTATCATTTGTAGGTTTGAACCTGACATGCTGGCATTTTCTGGGTGTTATTATGGTGGAGGAGATAAAGAAAGATTTGAATTGGGCGAGATAAGGAAGCGGTGGGAGACACTACCTGTAAAATTCTGATCCATATGAATGTTATTTACACTTGTTTTAGCGTCAAAGCTTTAATCTAATAATTCTAGAATTTGTAAAATTTTAATGGTTTGTCGCACTTTAAAGCTGGGAAGATCTAAATTTTAATATTATATCTCTAAACCAGTTTTATTTATTTTGTTGAGTCAGGAAATAAGTCCTGAGGAAGAGCGAATGCGGGGGAAGTGCCCACTGACCCCACACGAGGTGGGTTTATTGCTGCGGGCACTTGGTTTTGAAAATAACACTTACCTTTATGTTGCATCTGGAGAAATATATGGTGGAGAAGAAACGCTGAGGCCCCTCAGAGAGCTCTTTCCAAACTTCTATACAAAGGAGATGCTTGCTGGAGAAGAGTTGAAGCCATTTCTTCCCTTTTCTTCTCGTATGGCAGCTATCGACTACATTGTTTGTGATGAAAGTGATGTCTTTGTCACAAATAATAATGGAAACATGGCGAAAGTCCTAGCTGGTCGAAGGTAAATATTGAACAAAATCAATTTTCTGTTCTAGTTGGTGCATTTATGATGCTGAATCTGTTAACTGTTAGAATTTTGTAAGCAATTAATTTCCTTGCAGTTGAGGTGAAAAAGAAGACTATATGTCCTGTATGGTAATAATTAATAATGAACGAGAACTCAAAGTTGTAGTCAAGCAATTAACTGACTTATATATTCAAAACCTCCAAGAAATATTTTTGCCCTCTACATGAAAATTCTACTGCTCATCACACAGTTTCTACTTTTCATTATTATATTTTTTTAACTATCTAGCCTACAAGTTGGCTGATTTGCATTCTCATCTTTTCCACGTATCCTCCAAGTGCCAAATTCGATGCAAATTGCAACTTTCTTCAATTCTTTCACATGGCCACAATTGCCTACTTTTCGTATAAAACCCAAAAATGGCTTTATCCCTCACATTAAATGGCTTAGTACTTCACGCTCTCCCACTTAAAGTCATTTTCGCGATCTGTCCATCCATTTTAATTGTGCTAGTTTTATGTTGCTTACTTCTCTGCTAAGTTATAACAGGATCTACACCATTTGAACTTGTAACTGTTGATTAACTTGTCATTTACATTTGCTACTTTCTCCTTGGTCTGTAACTGTAGCATATCAATGCTTGCATCTTCACCTAGTTTCTGCACAAAATGATATTGTACACCTAAGTGCTATGTCCTCAAAGGAAAGGCCAGATTCCTTGTGACGTGCAAGGCACTCTGATTGTTGCAAAACAAGGGAATATTTTCTTGTCCATTGCCTGAAGTCTTCCATAAGCCTTCTTACCAGCTTGTATAATTGACATGTATTCTGCTTCTCTGAAGATAAGCTATAGTTTCCTGTCTTTTCTATCTCGGTGAATTTGTATTCTGTTGTCATGTTTGCTGGTCTCAAATCATTCATAACAAACTCCCTGGATAATTGTGTTCAATTCTTCAACTCAATCTTTGTTGGGGCCTGTCACTATGTCATTTACATACAAGAAGATAATGAAATCATTATCAGTTCCAGACCTTTTGTGGTACACACAATGGTCGTATCCAAGACTAATAATGAAATGGTCAAATATCTTGTACCAAAATTTCAATGAGTGTTTTTAGACTTTATAGAGATTTTTGTGTACTGACATTTCAAGTCCTTTCCCCCCTTTTTTAGTGAAAACCTTCTAGTGGGATTGTGCAAAGTTTATTGTTGATGTAAAAATGACTTTAAATGGGAGAATGTGAAGTGTGGAAATATTCAATTTGAAGTGACTTCACACGAAAAGTCTTCACAGCATTGTACCCTCTTGAAGTATTGAAAAAAGGTTCAATTTGCATTGAATTTGGCCAAGGTATATGCAGAAAAGGTGAGGATGCAAATTAGTTGATGTATAAATTGTTGAGAACTTAAAATCATGAACACTTGAAACTTCACGATGAGCTACGATGATGGTAAATAGAATTTGAAATAAATAGAAGAGTATTTCTGAAAAGAATTGCAACGAATAGAAGAGTCAAAAGATAGATGCATTAGAGTAAGAGAGAAAAACTAAACTCCCAAGTGTTTCCTACTTGGTATCTCATGTTACAAGAATAAAATGCTATAGTTTTCTTCTTGTATTTACAGAGGTGGTTGTATATTCTACTAAAAGTGAAAGCTAAAATGTTGTGTATTCTCTTCTAAAAGTGAAATCATTCTACACTTATCACTGGTTTCCTACTCCAATTTAAATTGGGGATTTTCCAAAAAAATCCTGGTGGCTAGTTAATTTTAATTTAATTTTATTTTCAAGCTAACTTCATTATACTAACTCTTAATGCTAATTAATCTGCTAAATTTTATCAACGAATAACGTACAATTAGGGACCTCATCCTGTAGCTATGATTAGAGATTCTACACCCACTATATATTGCATATAATACAGAGAGGCCCACAGGACAAGAAATGTTTGTACCAGCTCATTAGTTAAGCATATGATAAGAAACTTTCAAGTAGCAGTTAAAAAATAAGATATTTCCCCAGGAAAATTTTGACACTGGTAGTAGCGTTATTGTCATGTTGTTTTTGCCTTTCCACCTACACATCTACCACAAATGGTTATGTCTAAAACTGTAATATCCTAAACCCTAAACAGTTCTCTCTCCAATATCCTTCTAGGGTTCTTATCAACTTGGGTACTGTCAAGTAAAGAGAGAACTCAACAATACTATATTTTGATGACAAAGATGTTTTATCTTATTATCTATGGTTTTAGAATTTATTTGACAAACCTTTAGAAACCTGCCCAGTTGAGGACAGGCCTGTTCATGGTTTCCCTTACCCTGGATTTCCTTATATTTTTGATGTAATATGACTTGGAAACAACTCCATTCACACTTCATTTTTTATTTCCCAATATGCTTGTTGAGGCTAATTTTCTTTTCTAACTAGTATGTAATGCTGCTTATGCTTCTCATTTTCCGTGCTGTGTGTCAACCATTACTTTGTACACAACCAGTATGATTCCCACTTGGCTAATGACTCGCTTATGAAGAATTTTTTCCACCTCCGTATACATGGTGTGGTGTCAAATTCAAATTAGCAAACCTTGTTTGCTACATATGTTGCTATATTCACTCAAGTAAACCAACTCTGACTAGTCCGTTCAGTAGGAGATCATGTTTCTGTCTATGAATAGCCAAGGATAAGGAAGACTGGATGTGTGTTTATCATTGTATATGCTTAGTGTCTATAAATTAGAAAGAACTAAATTATGTCAAATGTGTTTAGATGATATTGCAGTTATAACTTAAGCAGAAATGTTTTGTATAATCAGATGATATGTCATAATTAGATGATTTTCTCAAAGCTCTTTTCATATCAATATTCCTGTAATCATAACTATGAATGCTCCTTTGGAGAAGGACTAAACTCAACATAGTCATGTACTATTCCAAATACATAGATTTTCACAAAATTTTCGAGTTAATTTTCGCTTCATGAAAGATTGTTGACCAAAAATGTTAACGGTTCACTTAGTGTGGGCCCAAAGGAGTAGGCGACTGCGTATTCACCTATCAACTTGACAATGAATCATGGTGTACTTCTCCATATATCAAGTCAAATGATCTCATTGCTCCGATAAAATGCTGCATGTTCAGTTTAGTAGAAAAAAATTCTAGTTTATGAAGAAGTTCCACTTCTTAACTATGCTTCTCCATGACAGTATATTTTTCCATGTTATGACTTGATGAACATAATTAGTAGGTTGAAATCAAAATTACCACGAGAAGTTGGTGTTAAACATTGTTCTCTGCATCATATGTTTGGGACTTAATTATTATGTCCATCTCTTGACTAAAGTGAACTTCTTGTTTTCTTTTCATATTGAAGGAGGTATATGGGACACAAAAGAACCATCAGACCTAATGCCAAAAGGCTTAGTGCTCTGTTCACAGCACGAGATAAAATGGATTGGAGTACCTTTGCTAGAAAGATCAAATCATGCCAAAGAGGATTCATGGGAGAACCCGAGGAGATAAAACCAGGAAGAGGTGAATTTCATGAATATCCAGCCTCGTGCATCTGCCAAAAACCGCCCAAATATTATGTTGTAAACAAAAATAAAGGAGACCAGAAATTCAAAACAGTTTTGAATGTTTCCGAGGCAGAGTCCAGCAACAAAATCTTCGGAAATGAACGCGAAAAGAGTGTACTGAAATGGAAGAATAGAACTACTAGCAATGAACCAGTCTCCATCACAGAGGACATTGACCATGATGATTTTTTGTCCGACTAGATGAAATCCTCTTAGATGTCAGTACCTTGAATTCATTATGATAACTGTGTTATGTTAAGCCCTGCTATGCCAGCTCCATTAAGCTACTATTCTCTGTGCCAAAGGCGTGAAATGAGTAACATACCAAAGAACAAGGTGAGTTGAATGGTGCATATGAATCGCTGGATGGAGATCTATGCATAGCTTGTCTGGAACTTATGGTGCCTGTAATTGTCTATATAATATGTACACTGATTTGGATTGTGTTGTAGTCTTTCCTTTCCTTTTTTTTTTTCTTCTATGAAATCGACTGTCTTTACTGTTCTGCTTTGCAGTTACTTCAATTAGATGAATTGAGATTTTAACTTTTTTTTTGCTATCACAATGAGAACTGTTTTATCATCCGCCAATGACAGAATATCATTTGTGCATTATGTCACCCAAGACACTCGAGTGTACATGTAGCAAGACCCTTTAAATTTTGGATTTTGCTACATATACATCAAGATTTGCATAATGAATTACATTATATCACATGACATTATATCATTTTCCAGTTTAAAACGCAATCACTTTTTCATCAATTTTTTTCCTTCCACATCATATTTTGTAATTCATTATGTAAAAGCAGCAAAATTCTCAAATTTTACATGGCTTGTGGAGATCTACCTTGTGAACTGTAATTACCCAAAAACCGTGACAAAATAGTGATATCCAAGGAACCATTGCCAGAAAGTTGGTTACTGCATAAGGTACCCATCTTTTTCAGGGTAAAACGGGGTAGAGATAATGCGTTGAATATACTCCCAGGAAGAGTTTAAACGACCTTTAAGCAAAAGAATACAACGCTTGGTGGTGTGACACTACTCTTTAAGGAACTCAAAACAGAATAGCATTGTAACTTGGGGCCCGATTGCGTAGCCCGTTGACAATGCATTGTGACAATGTTGGCAGGTTTTCTAATCGTGTTAAGCACATTGTAGATGATTTTCACTTCGATGAATACCCGGTTTTAAATAAATTTATGCATGACTCATACTCGCGATGATCGAAGCTCGACATTCTCAGGAACGTTTAACCAAAATAATTTAATTAACTCTTCGACTCAGTAAACACTTGAGAACTTGGGGATAAGAAATTCGTTGATTTTTAAGAATACCAAAATTTGAAAGTTTATTTCTTTTTTATTCAAATTCAACACCTCAATCAACAAACTTGGAACTTCTAAAACAAAATCAATATGTAAACTTTAACTCCTAATAATTAACATAATTTCTAAAAGCATCTCGAAAAAACTTTCTAAATATAAAATACTCTTTATTTTAGAAAGTCAATGTTTAAAAAAGAGCTCTAACAGACTCTCTAGTTTAACCTTTTAAAATAGAGAGTAAGTTTATCTCTTCAAATTTAGAGAGCCAAATTCACTCTTTATTCTTGATGTACAATGATTGTATTTAGAAAATTGCTGTGAGTACACAGAACTAATACAGAATTTTGAATTTCACTCTCATATGGTGGGCCCCATGTGAATTAAAATATTGAAAAAAAACCCCACCCACCCACCACTACTGTGTGTGTTCTGGCCGGTACAAGAATTTGAATTCCTGTACCTGTAGCATGTCTCTTGTATTTAACAAATCACATATTTCAATACTCTATTTCTTTAATTATTTAAATCACATTTAAATTAATTGGTCAATTGGCATATTAAAAATTATTTTAAATAAAATATAAAGAAAAATCAATAAATGTCTCTTGAGAAAGCAAAATGAATGGTCAAACTAGAGAGCTTGTTGGAGTGTATAAAAATTTTGATTTTCTAAATTTAAAGATGATCTATATAATATATAAGATGATCTTTATAAATAAAGAGACTCTTACAGTTGTTCTAACCACATTAAGACATACCTAATTAATTAAAATAAAATAATTATAAAACATCTCCTAATTAATCACGATTGCATCAATAATTAATGGAAGAGAGATGTACAGTGGGTTCGCTATCAAATGCATATGTATATATCTTCTATTAATTAAAGGAAAAGACATCTAAAAACTGAACACGGTTAATATTTTCAATTTTTTTTTCGAATTTATTGGAAACTTATAAATTTTAAAATTTAAGTAAACAAAATAAAAGATAATGTAATTTAAATTTCAAATGAAATTCTCTCTTTTCCTCGATTAAATTATATTCAAGTCAATATTTTAAATATTTAGAAGTGGTATGGTTGCCATTATGAGACATTGATGAGAAGTTGATGAGTAGTGCTACACTTACCGGGGCCTGTGAAGGTAACACATATGGGGGTGGGGGCCACATTTTTTTAATACATTGGGGTGGGGCCCTGTGCTACAATGAGGGGCCTTACCCTGTACGCATGGCAAAATTCTTGATGAGAATCTTGGACAAGGCTACAAGCATCGAATTCGAATAAGCCCTCATTCTATTTTCAACTTATACTTATGGAAAAATAAAGGAAGAAATATTCTTCTAAACTTGTTAGCACAAATGTATTCTTCCTAAAATATATTGAATTAAATCATTTTCACTAATGTTTTTATATAATCAATTATTTGTATTGCAATCACTTTCAACTATTCATTCATAATTAATTAAGGCCGGTTGGTCGGTTCCAATGAATATTCTTAATCAACTCCAAGTTGGCCACTGGTTCCAAAAACCTAATTCTACTGCCCATTATATAAACCATGCATGCTATGAATTACTCAGTACTTGGCTAGAATTTTTTGTGAGATTAATTTGACTCCTTAGCTTATAGGTTATTTTGACTTCTTAGGTGACCAAAAATGGTGAAGATTGCATTTGGTAGCATTGGTGACTCTTTTTCATTTCCGTCGCTAAAGGCTTATCTTGCTGAGTTCATTGCCACCCTCCTCTTTGTCTTTGCTGGTGTTGGTTCTGCTATAGCTTACAGTAAGTCATATTTTCTGTCACGATTCCATGTGTACTTTTTACTGTCAGTCCCGAGCCTAGATATAGAATGAGGGCGAGCCGTGTTAGGTTAAGAAATTTATGAGATCTTATGAAGTCCAGATATAGAATGAGGGCGAGCCGTGTTCGATTAAGAACGTTATTAGATTTTATGAGATTAGTCGATTTTAAATTTATTGGACAACTTTTTTAGGCTTTTTGTGAACTAAAATATATTGTCCAATTAAATTTGTGCAGATAAGCTCACGTCCGATGCAGCTCTCGACCCACCCGGTTTGGTGGCAGTTGCGTTGGCTCACGCATTTGCATTGTTCGTGGGCGTTTCCATGGCAGCCAACGTATCCGGTGGTCATCTGAATCCCGCCGTCACATTCGGATTGGCCATTGGAGGCAACATCACTATCATAACTGGCCTTTTCTATTGGATTGCCCAATTGCTAGGTTCCACTGTTGCAGGCCTTCTCCTCAAATTCGTCACTAATGGCTTGGTAAGTCATTCCCAATACTAAAATTTAGGCATGTTTGGTGTAGCTTAAAAAATCATTAAATATCTAATTCAAAGTAGACAATTAATTTTAATTATATATTTCATATGATCCACAACTCTGATCAACCATTTAGCGGCACATTTCATCATTTTTTTTTTATTATCTACTAAAATATGGTTTTTAACTACACCAAATCCCTTAAATCTTATTTCTACGCTAAATCACTAAATTTATCGTTGCATGAGCTTTCTTAGTGGCCCTAGGAGGTCATCTCGAGATCTTGAGGGCCTTTCGAGATAAAAAAAGGTTACTCCCCGTTTGTATTAACTAGTCAAGTTGAATATGCATTGCACGTTATTATGAAATATTTTATAAGTGTTGTAAAAGTAACATTTGATCCTCCATTTACCTTGTTGATATAAATATGAGAGAAATATAAATCCCTGAAAATAAGGGTCTGTTTGATTGCAATAGTGGAATTTGAGTGGAAAGAAAATGAATTACATGAAATTGAATTGCCTAGAATTGTTTTCTTGGGAATTGTCAATTAATTGTATTTGATTTGTATAATTTTTCACTTGAAAAATGTTGAAATTTTGGATCTTTTTGT